AGTGACTGAACCAACCAAACCCTGAGAACTATGATTGATAACAATCGGGGTTGTGGAGACATTTGGACACCTATTCTTGTCATTCTCATAGCCCCCTAGGAAGGAAGTTGTTCTTCTATCTTCACGAAGCTGAGGAGTAACCTCAACCGATTTTCCAGGTTGGACATAGTTTCTACTAAAATTTTGTAGACTTGAAAGAGCAATCCAAACCTGTTAGGAATTGTTTCAACAGAAATCATTGCAAAATTATAGAAGTCTTGAGTAAGAACATTTTTATTATAATGAAAACAATAATATTATACAACAGAAAATAAATATATATGCTTGTAACGACTCCTGTATGTACAAGAACCACAAAAGTTCTTTATCAATCAAAACAACTATTCTCAAATATCATTCTCTCTCTTAATTCTCTGTTTTCTCTTTCTTTTTACTATTTTTCTGCAACCATAGACTCTAATTGGTATCATGTGCTTCTTTTGTCCCTTAGCCATATCTTCATCAAATCTGTCTCAAACCTCAGCTGACTTATGTTCACATTCTTCCAGTTCCTGTGTCTGAACCAGAAACATTGTTGACACTTATTTTGTAAATGCTTGCGTAACAATCACGCACTTAAGGCAGGTGCACAAAAGCATTGTGATTGAAGGTGAGTTTGTACCCAATTTCACCTTTTATTTGTATCTTTACCATGTTTTCTCTTGTCGATAATAGATTAAGGAACTAGCCCGTGGGCCGTGACAGAATCAAAGTTCTCTCTTCCTAATTTATGATGATGTTTATGAACATAATTAGAAGAAAAAAAAAGAAAAAAAAAAACTCTGCTGCTCATGGATTTATTATGTTTATTTCTTTGATTGTTTTCAGCCTATTATAGCCAGAGCTTTAATAGCGGATTGGTGTTGCCTGAGTAGAGTTCACGGAATGTAAGGGTTCTTGTGGCCGTAAGTACATTTTACTTTTATTTTTTTGTCTGTTCAATTATTCCTTCGTTATTACTTTTTTAATGGAGTTCATCTCATGACTTGATAGATATAAATAAATATTCTGTGTAAAATGTGATGTTAAACTGCATTCATTTTACATATACTAATGGATTGCTTTTCAGTTTTTACACTTGCTTGTGGGTGCAGTTCTTGCAAATCATTTTTCTCCCAACAACTGGTCATTTTTAAGGAAGCAAAACTTGCAAGGTAATATGTTTGTTTGACATAAATGTAAAAAGAAAAATGTTTGACTTCTCTAGGCCGATTCGGTGTTGTCTCTTGTATTTGTAGGCAAGATATATGGAACCGGCTCATTTATATTCCATTGCCGTAAATAATAATAGGATAATTTTGTGAGCAAAAAACATTATAAAAGGATGAATAATATTTATGGAACCCTAACTTTGAAATGGTCATAACTCATGACTTGGAATGGTTCAAAAGAATATCTATTCCTGAAATGCTAAAACCGAGACTTTCCTCCATTTTTTTATATTTAAAAGTATATTATTTTTAAGGTTTTAACTACTATTTTGTTTTTACTCTAACAATACCTTAAACTCATTAAATAATTAGAATTGCATGCCGTGTAGTAAAATCAAGAATAATATTAGGTTGATTACATAATTTAAACTGTGTTGTGTATTCTTGATTTATCTTACATGAAAAATGTTATTAAATTGGCTTTAATATGAGAAAATATTATTAGTTTGGGACAGTTAACTCTATAATACATTATTAATTTAGTTCGTGAAAGAGAATTGTTAGGCGTAAAACCAGAGGTATTTCCATCAAAGTACCACGACACAGAAAGGAGTTTTGCTGAAGCATTGTAAGTAATTAACGCATGCACCATGTTCCCTATGTTTCTCTCAATATCAAACCAGGAAGTAGCAAGGGACACCTTGGAGTTGTTGTTGATCCCCACGTGGAACATATGTGGATCATATTCGTTCACGTAAGTGTCAAATTCGACGGCAACGATGTTTTGCGTGTCACCGTATAGGCCAAGAGTACCACCACCTGCATACGGCGGAATAGGGTATGCAAGAGGTGCCACGTAGAAGGCAAAACCGTCACCGTAGGTTTTTGTGGACACGTCGATAGTGAAGGAAAAACGAGTGGAAAAGTGAGTGACATTTCCATTAGAAGAGTTTTTGAGGCGCAGAGGTTGGGCATAGATAGCTCGTCCCACTCCGTTGTTGACGAGTGAGTTGAGAACTAGGGTTCCGTTCTCAATCTTTGTTACGCCTGTGTATCCAACGAAGCTTGCGCTTTCAGTATCGTTGAAATTAGCTATGTTGAAGGAAAGTGGTTGAACTATTGGAAGGACAAGGGTGCGCAAAAGAAGAAAAGTTTTCAAGTAGTGCAAACATATGGAGGTTGACAATGACATCATGGTTTAGTACCACTCACTCTAGGCCGATTCGGTGTTGTCTCTTGTATTTGTAGGAAAGATATATGGAACCGGCTCATTTATATTCCATTGCCGTAAATAATAATAGGATAATCTTGTGAGCAAAAAACATTATAAAAGGATGAATAATATTTATGGAACCCTAACTTTGAAATGGTCATAACTCATGACTTGGAATGGTTCAAAAGAATATCTATTCCTGAAATGCTAAAACCGAGACTTTCCTCCATTTTTTTATATTTAAAAGTATATTATTTTTAAGGTTTTAACTACTATTTTGTTTTTACTCTAACAATACCTTAAACTCATTAAATAATTAGAATTGCATGCCGTGTAGTAAAATCAAGAATAAAATTAGGTTGATTACATAATTTAAACTGTGTTGTGTATTCTTGATTTATCTTACATGAAAAATGTTATTAAATTGTCATATTTTATTAATAAGGATAATATTAAACAATTTATATTTTATAGGATGAAGGGAGTGGACATGACATGCCAACACCACAAGGAGGATCTTCATTAGATAGTAATGTTCATGGAGTTTGACATTATTATTGTTTTTTTTAGACATGATGAGCTCATGAATTTGAACCTATGTTTTTATATTTTAAGCAAGATTAATTTTAGGACAATTTACATATTTTACTTTTGAGCATTGATCATGAATTTGATTTTGAGTTACTTAATATGTTAGATCTGGAAAATATGAATTGTTACGTATTTTATGCAGAAGAGAGCAATGGTGACAATACCAATGGGCATATCAATTTTAGTTAGTTATCTGTTATCAGTTCAGAGAAGAAATTATCCCTGCCACCTATTTTTTGTAGTGTGGTCTGTTTTTTTGGGTTTTTTATTTTCCAATTTGTTTATCATAATAAAGGGTTTGAATACCCTTGTTCAAATACTCTTTCATGCAAACATCCACAGCCTTTGTTTTATATTTTGCACTAAATTAAATTATATTAATACTTAATTGAAGTTTAATATTTTATGCATATTTTATTAATAAGGATAACATTAAACAATTTGTATTTTATAGGATGAAGGGAGTGGACATGACATGCCAACACCACAAGGAGGATCTTCATTAGATAGTAATGTTCATGGAGTTTGACATTATTATTGTTTTTTTTAGACATGATGAACTCATGAATTTGAACCTATGTTTTTAT